CTGGACGTGGTCCCCGATAACTTGACGCGGAATGCGTCCTCTAGCATCGGTGGGAAGATCTCTTTCGGTGTCCCCGGTGTTGTTATCGGTTGGTTGGTATGAGCTTACAGATAAGCTGTTGTATGTGGCAGATATTTCGACTTGCATTACAGTAGCGTCTTTATCCTTAATGCTTCCGTCAATACACAAGTTATTAAGCTTCATACATGACTTGATCACTTTGCTCACGTTCGTGAAGTCGACAACCAAGGGCCTTTTAAGCATTTGCTACTTGTTGACGAGCAAGCCGAATGACATCTCAATTCTGATTCAAATCTGGCTGAGGTAGAAGTTAAAGTCTGAGTGTTTCTTTGTCTTCAACTCCAGCTTGTTGTACGGGACCAACAAGGCGTCAGACAGCGAACAGGCGCTGTCAGCAACGCAATAAAAGCCGGGAGGCAGTGCCATGATCTCATCACTCAACGTCCACTTCTTGAAAGCTAATGAGTCAACCTCGCTCGAACAGTCAATGGTACAATTCGAGCTGTTGTGTATAGCACGTCTGCGAACAACACTGCTGAAGATTCTGCCGCCCCATTAGCTCCTGACGTCCTGCCGGGCAAGCTTAGCTGGTCACTAAGCCCACCTACACACTTCTGACCATCACCACTCTAGACATACACGTTTTGACGAAGGCTTTATTGAGCACATGTACTGACAATAATCGGCTTCTTGAATAACATCGTGTGCGGACTCAACTGACACTATAATACACTGCTTACACATTTTGACAAAACCTTTGTGTACCCACACACATCGGTTCGGTTGGATAAACTAGGGCTACGCAAGGCTGGGATAGGATAAACCGGTTTGTATCGGTTTGCGTCACCAGCAATGTCGTAGATATTCAAACCAGCACTCTCGTTGATATTCAAAGCGAAATAAATATCCTTAAGACTTCGCTGGACTCTGTTCATCGCACGGAAGATTAGTCTTACTGAACCAATATTCCCGTCGCTCACTGTTATTCTTTTTGCATCGAAGTTTCAACTGTTATCAGGCACTATTGCTATCAAAAGGTAATCTTTAGCCCCGAAAGTTTTAAGTGTTATCAGGGAGCAGGAGACAGGCCGTGAAAGATGTGATCCGGCGACAGCCCAGCATACCATTGACGTAGTTTCCCCGCGCGGTCAAAAATCGGGTCTTGAAGAATATCGGACCCTGCACCGATCGAGATCGACCTTGCGTTATTGTAATCCGTGACCAAGCCTCACCGAATGAGAACCACAGACCCTTCAAGTATCTCTCCAATGGTCTGCTCGAGCTTGCCCCAAGTGTTGCAAACCACGCTCTTATCAGCATCATCAACGAGAAGTAAATCCCTTTTGCCCACTGATTTGCCCTTTCGCGTTGTAATACGCTTGAGCCCACCCACAGCACGTACCGCCAATATTGCCGTTGCCGTGCCCTGCACGGATGCTAACCCGGTAAGCGGTAGGCAGTGTATGATCGGAAGAACTGTCAATGGGTTGAACGCAACACTATTTTTGCATTCTCTCCCAAATGAAATTTCGACACAGTCGTTGACGGCTGCAAAAGCTCGCCTGACGCGACTGCCAGAGAAGTAACATGTCGCTCCACGAACGGTGATCGCTGGGTATTTGTCGATAGCTTCATTAAAAAGCGTCTCTCGAATACAAACCTCCGGCGAGTCCGTCAGGTATAGTTCGAGCAAGGTCCCAGTATCCTGAAAGTTCTTCCAAGGACGAACAGGATTCCGCGCGAAAACGCGCGCAACAACTGCCTACGAAGTGACCTGAGTATGCTTGAGACCATTTAGCAAAACCACATGTGGTTCGCTCGAAGAAAGAGTGGGGGTCATCGACGCGGCTTTTTCCAGCGGGTCGTCACGTAATTCTAGCGACTCGTTATCAGACTGTTGGTGGAGACACGGAGAGGTCGGTTCACTTGCGCTCGGGTTAACGTCGGTTGCGCCGGGGTTACTGGTAGACACTAGAGCCGTTTGATTAGTCGCGTCAGGTACAGTAGGCCCCACACCACGCAGTCCTATCGGAGCGATAGCTGCATCGTCATCAATCTGGTAAATCGAGGGAGGAATACCAGCGCCGCTCTTTATGGGTGTGCCGGTCTTCGAATGGAAAGGTGCACTGCCATCTTTCATTTCACAGTCGGTGGATGCGGGACTCAAATTCTTCATGCTGGACGCGGAACGTGTATTCTTCTTGGCGGAAGGCGACATGGGGTTCCAGTTGGAGGCCAATTGAAAAATGGAAACTAGGAGGTTGATACCGCGAGAAACGTGACAATTTATCGGATATCACAGTGATAGCAATGGATATTCGTTGCAAAAGAAGAAAGCCCTCAGGAGATAACGTGGCAATTGATGGGTTAGCCTCAGCGAGACTAAGTCCGATGAACGAACCGACGGTACAACTTGTTTTCTAACCGCTTTCTTGAATATATGTCGAATCCACCATTCTTCTTTGGGCTCAACAAATGTTACGCGCGGCATACAATCAGGTTCAAGTCGAGGCAAGACAGCAGCAACTTTGGACGGCCCGTCCGAGGGGAAACAGATAGTATGACCACTAGAATTCTTTGCTGTTAGGGAAATATCCATCCCAAGAAATTGCACTGGGGCAATACAGTCCAGTGCAATCTGGGTCAGCTCCGGTAGTTCGCCAACACGGCCGTAATCGTGGCCGCTTGCAGCACTAACGGACTCTTCGTTGGATCTTCTTGACACGACTCACAAAGAGGAATCGATTCTATATCGCGGACTAACTCCGGTATCAAATAATAGACTTGGTCGCCAGTAACGTAAACCGGACGGTATTTGCGCACGCTAGCCTCGACACAACCAGCAAACAAACTCCTACGACCCGCATCACCCAACGCAAAATTCTGCATTTCCCGCAAAGCAGAGAAAAAAAACTTGTCGCCGTTCTTATTTTATAGTAACACTCGCCCACACGAGGCACAAGCCCATATATCAGTCGACTCTGACCCGCCTTCAACCGCGAGATTCCGGCACGCCGACAAATCATCAGGGTTAGGATAGTCATTAAATATATTCATTAGACGCTCGTGCGTAACGTCCCCTTCGCCGCCATGAAGTTGTTCGTCGCCAAACGCAGTAATAATATGCAAGCGCAAGTCGCGGATCACTTGTATACCGCTGAGAGGAATGTACAGTTTGTAGCTTTATGCGTAATTTCAGCCAATCAAAACGAATAGTCGCTGAAGTATCCTGACTTCTAGGTGGTGTCCCTATAGATAAGAACACCCTCTAAGATGGCAATTACACTTTAGAATTTGCAATACGTACATTTTTTAAGAAATGGTTGCCGTTAGTTGTTAGTCATTAGGCACGTGCTCTTTGGGCCAAGCGGCACAATCTAATTCCTCGTATTGTTAGTGCAGCTTGAAAAAATCTAGTGTCCCTTTAGATAATAGCAGCACTGTACATTATGCAATTCTCTAAACTCCGAAAATAAATAATCTAGTGAGCGATGCGAAATAAATAACTTGTTATTTTCGGAAATTATGCTATTAACAATGCTAATTTCGGAGGCCCTGGGTGCTCCTGATCTTTTTTACTGATTAGGGGGTTTCAAAGTTGTCATTAATTAGGATTTTTTTGGCGGAGATGAGCCTCATTTTTGTCGAAAAATGAGGGGGCTTTCAGCTCTGAAACACCACTAAATTGCCACAAAAACCAGATAATTACCTTGTAGCCCATAACCATGCGTGAACGAGTCGCAGGGCGTGAACGAGTTGCCGCGCGTGAACGAGTTGCCGCGCGTGAGGGCGTGAAGGAGTTGTCGCGCGTGAACGAGTTGCCGCGCGTGAAGGAGCCGCCGCGCGTGAGAGCATGAAGGAGTTGCCGCGCGTGAAGGAGCCGCCGCGCGTGAGAGCGTGAAGGAGTTGCCGCGCGTGAGAGCGTGAAGGAGTTGCCGCGCATGAAGGAGCCGCCGCGAGTGAGAGCGTGAAGGAGTTGCCGCGCGTGAAGGAGTCGCTTCGTGGTAAAAAAAAGTCTGAACGTGAAGGGGTTGCTGCACGTGATATTGCTGCGGGTGAGAATTGCTGCACGTTATACTGTTGTTTGTGCACTAGTGTAGACGGCAAGTTGGAGATGTCGAAATCTTCGTCACGATAGGGGCAGACTTTCAACAGCTTCTTCGAGCGCCAGCCCTGCTTCGAGCTTCGATTCAGTAAGGCCAAATCCCGTCTGGGAGTCTAACCTTTCCCCGATTTTCCTGAACACCTTAAAGTAAGATGTCCAGCGGCTTTGGCATGTATAAGCATCCCTTCGTTCGGTATACTTAGCCGGTATCGGCGAACCTGCATCCGCAAAAAGTCTTCAAGCAAGATGTAAACACGTACTCTGCCATTTGACCGAAGCCTCAAATCTTTGTGCGCGCCCCTCCAAAGCCAGCAGAGTGGTCGTCATTTGCCTTGCCCACAATCACATTGAAATTAGCCGGGTTTTTTCAGCCATTCCACCATAAACTGTCTCTGCAGTAAGGTGGTGTAGCCACCCTTCTGGCCCTTTTGGCGTGCCATGCTGTACCCTTCGCTTCCCAGCCACCAGATTCGAAAGTAACCAGGTTATATATTTAGCGGCGTACCCCTAAAAATGAGAACTCAAAATATCAGCTGGAAAAATGCGTCTCGGGAGGCGCATTTTTCGACAAAAATGAGGCTCATCTCCGCCAAAAAAAATCCTAATTAATGACAGCTTTGAAACCCCCTATTAGTGCCGGAATGGAAGACGAGTTCTCGATCTGTACGCCAGCAGTAAGAAATCTATCATATCGAAAGCATGCGCGTATCAATGAAGTATGCTGGTGCGTCATCAAGATCCTAACCGAACGGGGCCTTCGAAGTGCGGTAAGGATACAAGTGAGCAGTGTATGCATATCTTTGTGAATGAATGACAAAACCAAAGCGCTGCCGACCACAAAGACAATCAACAAGGAGGCACTAGCTGCAACAAGTTTTGAAGTCATCGGCATTAGCAATACTTCGAAGTACTTAAGTATGCTCTGAATGAGCTAACGTCGAGTTGGATAGCAAATGCTTCGCTGTAATTGACCACAGGTCTCATTGAAATGCTTCAGCGTTCTTGTAGCTGCTCGTCTAACGGCCTCGGAAGCTACATTGACAAGCGGACTTTGCACGACGGCATTTACGGCATTGTTGAAGTCGAGGACGCTTCGGGCTCCTTTCACGCGATCTGTCGTCGCGGCTGTGCCTATCTCTATCCGAACCGCCTCCATAGCCACGGTCTCGACGGTCATGGTCACCGCTTTGACTGTCAGTTCGGCTATAGCGATCTCGGTTGCGATCACCATCACGGTCTCGACCATATTTGTTGTAGGAGTAGCCACCACGACTGTCATTCCGCGACCCTTCTCGCTCGCGTTCACGTTTCGCCCGCGCTTCATCTTCCTCCTTCATCTCAAGACAACGCTTGCAATAACGCGCGCTCGCTCCACCAACACACGTTCCGCGACAACGGCTAAATTCGGGCTTCTTCATCGAATCAGCATCCTCAGGACGTGTGTACCATTTCGGCGACGTCTGAAAGCGCTGAGCAACTCGGTTGCAGATCACTTCCATGTAGTCATGAATTGCTTCTTTCGACACGAACTTTTCGTACAATTCATTGGCTCGAGCTGCAATCTGTTGACATTTGTCGTCATTCTCACGACACCACCGAATTTTCTCCTCCAAGTCTGAAAGATCCGCTTTGATCGGCACGTGATCTTCGAATGGTTTGAGAATGGGGTAGTACCACATCTCGTCGGCAACACAGCGCGACTCGACCTTGAGAATCACACTGCCCAAGCGCATCAAGAAGGCGTACCGGTTGGCAGCGCAGTGACCTTCAACGTACAGAATGTACTTGAACTTGGACTGCTCATAGATAGGAATGAAATGCTGGCGTCCACCTTCAAAGATGAACTTCTCGTGACGTAAGAACGTCATAGGCTTACCGGCGATTTTCTTATCGCGGAGGTTCCACGTGGTAACTTCAGCGTTTAGAAGCGGTACCAGCTCTTGATCTCCATCCCTCTCAGCCTCACCATTCATCATCGTATCTTTCTTCCATGTGTTCGAGAGGTGAGCCAAGTGAAGACGTTGATTGGTGTCAATCGTTGTGCCACCTCCCGTTGCACTACCACGAAAGAAAGCAGTATTCACCTTGTCTTCCCAAGGTTTGTAGAACTTCCTGAAGTTGCTAGCAGTAAAAAGGTCACGTGCGCCTTCGATGCCGTGTCTCTTCCGGCCATTGGCGCCGACGTCGCAGAAACACTCCCAGTCGTTCTCACAATGTACTGAATTACGACACGGACATCGATCGCAATGAGTATGTCTGAACGACTGCGGGAACACAAGACCTGTAGCTGCTTCCCAGTCTTCCGAGCATGGAAAAGGGATATCCGCGAAGCGCTTGGAGACGTAGAAGCTCATAATAGGCGCATACGTCGCGTAAAGGTGCTTTGTGAGGGGAATATCGTCGTCCGGGTTACGGTCATCTTTGTCAAACAGAAATCCGTACGGCTCGCTCAGGTTTTCCTGTCAATTCAAGTCACAAGACAGATTTTAGTCCGCAGATTCCTCTCTTTACATCAAGTGGCTACAAACCTTTAAGTGCGGGTAGTCGCGTTTGTTAATGAAGAACTCGCAGTCAGCAATGTTGCGATGCTTGCACGCGTCTTCTAGCATGTCTCGCAGTTGCGTCAGGAATTGATCTCCCCAGTACTGCGTCTCGTCCTCCTTGTTGCGGTATCTGCAGTGTTCGTTGCAAATGATGTTGCCATTGGCCCACCACTTGTTCACGTCTGGTATGATGTTTTCGCGTCGATAGTATCGCTGTTTCTCGCGGTAATATGCGAACATGCTGCCGTCCGAGCTGTCGAACGTCACGTTCTCTCCCCAGTTGTTCTCGTAGTTTTTGTTAGCGAAAGGAGCGAAGATGACGACGCGGCGTCGACGGATCATCACGAAGATACCACAGCGCATGTTGAAGAACAAGTAATACAGGGTATTGTATGTCGATTCGCGGTTGGTCTGTTGATGGAAGGGCATGTTAACACGGTAGTCGACGTCTTGGGCGATGGGAAGTCCCTCGCCCTGCGCGAAGCGATTGTCGGCGCTGACCGGGGGCGTCGGCTCAAGTGGGTACTTAAGGTCGTACTCCTCGATTTTGGGCATGAGGATCTCTTCAATCTGATGCCAGTCCACAAGCATGGAGAAGACGTGCTGCAGCTTGGGGAAGTCCGGGTTCGAGCCTCGCCAGCAGTGCTTGCGGATGAAGTCCTCGCACTCTGCCTTGGTAGCAAATTTGGGAACGCCGCCCGATGTCTCGGACATGACCCCACGCCGCCATTCTGGGGTCTCTTCGTCCTCGAAGGCGAAAATGCCGCGCAGCATCGGACGCTCGTCCATGGTAGCGAGAGCAGTTGTGACGAGGGGAAGATAATCTCATGCGTTATTGGATAAAATAGCAGCCAATGAGGAACAGAGTCCAAAAAATAGTAGGAGGAGGACTTTACATGTTTATTAATACCGGTAGTCGTCCTGCAAGATACGGTACTGTACTACAGAAGTAGTACAGTACCTCAGATAACAGTATGTGAAGGTGAACTTCACCTACGGCCAACAGATGTAGGTGTAGAACAGACTGTAGGTCTTTCTTCTGTAGGCAGTCATATTTTAACTTACAAAAAAGAAAACGATAAGAAACACCAGCCATATTTCTTGGCTCAAACTCTCTTCACGACACTCTCAACCTAAGACTCTTGTCACGAATAACTCACGAATTGTTTTCTAGACTCTCAAGCGTTTTGACGCTACATGTACATGTAGACGTATAATTGTGCACAACCATCGGGTTTGCGGTGCCCGACTCGCCGTATTTCAAGATCCAGTGGCAAGTTATGCTACAGGCGGCAAATGAAACTTACTTTCAATTTGAAAGTAAGTTTCAAAGAAAGTCACAATCCGATTGTATTTTCCGAAAGGAAGCGTCTTTACGGGCTTACTTGACGGCTTTGACCTCTAGGCTGGCGTTAGATAAACCCCAGCGTTGAAATAGGAATAGTCAACCAGAGCGGCTTGCATTTACATTGTAATATGTTGCGCTTTTGACGGCTTAAAAACTACACCCTCTACAGTACATGTACTGTATTGTACAGTCTGTACAACATTGGTAGGCGATCTGCCTGTACATCTTACCCCTCTAGTGGAGTCTGGTGTCCGTCCGTCTGTCAGTCCGTCCGAGGGTAGGGTTCTAAAATGTAACGCAAATGCGGGCGTTCTACTGGCTGCCGAGCGCAGCGAAGGCGGCGTCGATTCGCTAAAAAGCTGCCGAGCGCAGCGAAGGCGGCCCCCATTGGCTAAAACAGATATTATGTGCTGTACTTACTGTATGTGGACTACACATCGTACTTAACTGCACCGTTTAAATTTCATTTTGCTCTCATTTTCAGCTGCGGCTCGCCACCTCACGCAAAGGGCGCTGCCTGTGTACGCGTTAATTAGCACAATTAAAAGGCGCCGATGAGCACACACGTACTATATCGTCGTAGGAGCTGGAGAAAACAATTATAGGCCCTGGTGACTTATATTTCGGCCTCAATCGAAACTTTAGTACTTATTGAATTTAGAATGATGTTTTAGGCTTCGTAGTACTGCTGTACTAATTTAACTTACCATAATTTTTTTCTTAGTACTATTATCAAGCCATTTCATATTTTTGCTTGCAGTCATTTGTAGTAGTAGTACACAAATAATTATATCAGCGTTTAATAATAAATAGCAATTGTATTACTAATAATAATAATGTGAAAGCTTTAAAATATGACTATTGTGGCTTACACCCCTGCACACCACACTGCCTCCGGGAAAAAGTGTCATCTTCCTTTGTATTTGCGCGCGTAGTGTGCGACCTTCAGATATTCTGCAAACTATCCAACAATATATGTAGCGTACATAAAAAAATGGGAACAGCTTTTGTGTTTAAGGTAGCGCGGATGCACGTGACTAAGCAAGAGCACGAAGCCCGAAGGAACATCGACCCACCCTATGTAGACAATGGGATAGAAGAGCAACACGAAGCACGAAGGATAGAAGCCTTAGGCGATGCAAACCGCGAAGTGTTTTACGTAGCGTGAAATATGGAAGTGCACGCAGCCATGAACAGGACAGAACGACAAGAATATGACGGGAGCGTACGGGCCACAGAAGGGAACTAACTCCATAGACACCCCAGCATGCTGAAAAGCACGGGTTACGAAAGAGCACGCACGCTCGAAGCCACGGTAGAACACGTAACGGTAATAGTGCACGGACAGAAAGTCTCCCATAGCACCACGGTTGAACACGGAGCACAGTCAGCAGACCAAACATGAGCCCGCGGGAGACCATAAGCGGGATATCACCGGGTCTTGGGACACGATATAAGGTTAGAACCGGAGCTCACCGAGTATCACAGCACGATACTACGGTAACTAGCGATTGCATTGACGAAAGACCAACCGCGACACTACAAGTTAGCACGATAGCATGGACTGTGCCACTAAGCCATGGGAGAACGCAGTCGCGGAGCTATACACGGAAAATCACAGCGCCGCGGAGAGGCGATACCAGTGTTTAACCTGAGCTTACCGAGCCACGGAGGACAGTACTACATTAGAACTAGATTGCACGGACGGCGGACCCAGCCACGAAATAAACGGGGAGGTGGGCGCTTGGGGAGACCACGACTGAACACTGTGGAGCACGATGCCATAGTAGAACACGATAACACGGACAACGCAGATACACTGCGTAGCACAATACCATAGACAGCATTACGACACCGGAATTGCACGATAGCGTGATACCGCGGTCGATGACACTTCATCAGGAGATCACGATGCACGGGCGACGGAGCCACACGACTGCATGGAGGCACCAAAGCACGGAATAGCACCCTTTGGTTAGAGTACCGGTGATGGGAGGCCAACGGCCACGAATGCCTATGCATCACGAAAGCGGTACAGCCCGCGTAAATGTTTGAGAACAGGGAATAGTTAGGAGCCACGAAAGAGGCCGTACTAAAGTGGATGAGCTCAAAAGAGAGCGCATATCCACAAACAGCGTGGACCACGGGTGAATAGAGAGCCACGAAACCAAGAAGAACACGGAAGAGCACAGGCCATTGAAGAACACGACATTCAACCTGTAGTACGGGGTAACGGAAACGTATCAAACCACGATATTGTACAAAGCCACATGAGATTACTGACAGCTAAGTGGTTGACTACACGAAGCCACGACGTACTAGGTTGAACGACGCCCATAAAACACGCGACACGAAGAAGCACTTAATTTGCGGCCACCTCATCTCCAACCAACCATGCCACTCCGCCGCGTAGCGGCGGCGAACGGCTAGTCCTACCCCCCTAGTGGAGTCTGGTGTCTGTCCGTCCGTCAGTCCGTCCGTAACGGGCTAGGGTTAATAATCCTCACGCTAATACGCGCGTTCTACTGGCTGCCGAGCGCAGCGAAGGCGGCCTCGATTCGCTAAAATTGCAATATGTGGTGTACACACTGTATGTGGTCAACACATCGTACTTAAAATGCACCGCTCAAATTACTTTTTGCCTTCATTTTCAGCTGCGGTATGCAAGGCCACGCGAAGGGCGCTGCCTGTGTACGCGTTAGTTAGCTGATTTAAAAGGCGCCGATGAGCACACACGTTCTCTATCGTCGTAGGTGCTGTTGATAAATTTTGTAGGCTTCGGTGACTCATACTTCGGCCTCAATTAAAACATTAGTACTTATTGGTTTAAATATGATTTGATTTGCTTCTTAGTAGGTTTGTGATAATTTAACTTACAGTACTGTTTTGCGTAGTACTATTCTTAAGACATTTCATATTTTTGCTTGCAGTTATTTGTAGTAGTAGTCCACATAATTATTATGTTAACGTTTATAATAAATCACACTTCTACTACTACTATTAATAATTGATACTTTAGGATGTGAAAACTTTAAAATATGACTATCATGACTTCCCACCCGACACCCCCCTGCACCCCACACTGCCCCCGGGAAAAGTGTCATCTTCCTCTGTATTTGCACACGACCTTAAGATATTGTGTGATCTTTCCAACAATATATGTTGTGTACATCAAACAAAATCGGAACAGCGTTTGTGATCAAGTTTGCGCGGAGGCACGTGTCTCAGCAAGAACACGAAAAACGATGGGATAGAAGAGCAACACGAAGCACGGAAGGTCATGGACGATGATAGAAGATTTAGCCGATGCAAACCACGAAGTGTTTTACGTAGCGCGAAAGATGGACGTGCACGCAGCCATGAAAAGGACAGACGGACAAGAATATGACGGGAGCGTACGGGTCATAGAAGGGAACTTAATACGTAGACACCCCAGCATACCAGAATGCACGGGCTACGAAAGAGCACGCACGCTCGAAGCCACGGTAGAACACGTAACGGTAAGAGTGCACGGACAGAAATTCTCCCATAGCACCATGGTTGAACACGGAGCACAGTCGACTGACCAAACATGAAGCCGCCGAAGACCATTAACGGGAGGTTGTCGGGTATTGAAACACGATACCAGGGTATAACCGGAGCTCACTGGGGAGCGCGATACTACGGTAGCTCACAACAGAATGGACGGCAGACCAGCGTCGACACCACAAAATAAAACGATGACTGGGACGGTGGCCAAGACACTAAGCCATGATTGAAATGCGGCCACTGGAGCTGTAGACGCGAAATCACCGAGCCCCGGAGCACTATATCAGTGTAGAACCTGAGCTTACCGTGCCACGGAGGACAATAGCGCATTAGAATTCGATTGCACGGACGGCGGACCAGCCACGAAATGGAAGGGTGATCGGGGTGACCATGATTGTGGAGGACGATGCCGTTGTAGAGCACGATAACACGGGCAATGCAGATGCAATCCGTGAGCACAATACCATAGACAGCAAAACCATATCGCAATTACACGATGGCGTTATAACGCAGTCGATGGAGTCCCACCACACGAGATCGATACACGGGTGCTGGAACAACACGACTGCGTGGAGGCACCAAACCACGGAAAATCACCCTTCGGCTAGGGTACGGGCGATGGGAGGCGAACGGTCACGAAAGACTGTGTACCAGGAAACCGGTGCAGCCCACGAAACGTTTGAGAGGTAGCAGCCACGAAAGACGCAGTACTTAATAACATGAGCCCAAATGAGAGAGCTCATAACCACTAAGCTGCATGGGCCACGGGTGAGCAGGGAACCACGAAGCCAAGAAGAACACGGAAGAGTGCAGGCCATTGAAGAACATGACATCCAGCCTGTAGTACGGGGTAGCGGAAACGTTCCAAGCCACGATATTGTACAAAGCCACATGAGATTACGGATAGTTAAGT